ACACACACACACACATACACACACAAAGTACAAACATACAAGTCATGCCAAAACTTACCAGCCTAACTTATTAACATATGCTGAACACACTGAGTGTGAGTGGATTTATTAAATTTTTATCTGAAAGACAGTATAATTTTATGATTCAATATTATTTTTAACAACAACAACCCAATTATCTCTCCAACAATAAAATCAAACACTAATCTATTATAAGAAATCTTGTACGCTTACCACAATAAACTTTCCCTGTGGAGTGTAGTACATTCAGCTAGCAAAAAACAGCTTCTGGAAAGCTATTTATTTGTTGTTTGCTTTTTGGAGACTCTTGGCCTCTTTGTGCTGCAAGAGGGCCTCACTAAACACCATCTGTCCTGCGGCTATTAATTTTTTAATTGGCTGTAATGTTGGCCAGACGCTGTACAGATGGTTTATGTTAGAAGCAGCTTCAGCTCGGGTTCAGTCCAACTGTGAATGCTAATGCTAATGCTAGCCCAGAGTGTTTAATTAAATGTTTATCAGTTCTTGTACATTCTTCCGTAATAAATACAAATCTGATGATTAATTTTAATTGATCTGGCATCAACAGCACTCCTTATGAAAATCTGCCATAGTTTTATTATAGTTTTTTTTAATTCAATATCAGCATGGTATGAATAGTAATATCAGCCATTTATTGGTTATTGGCTATAATATGAAAACAATTATCAGCCCATTGGTATTGGCCATAATTTTCATACCGGTATCTCGATAAATGTTTATAAGGGAACAACTCGAATATTTTTAATAGATTTAAATTAATTCAGTTTATGTCAATTTTGTTCTTGATCTCTTTCTGTATATCTCTTCCTCTAGTTACATAATAAGGGTCCAAGTTCAATAGGCAGGACTGTATTGGAGGTGGGATGGCCCAGTTGGTACCGTGAGGAACACCTCCTTTATGCCCTTCAGATCATTACTGACGGACCTGTTCACTGCAGTGTTAACGGCTCCCTAAACCCGCTGAAGTTAGAGGTAGCACATGCACACAAACTCTTTTCTCTCTATCTCTCTATCCTCCTTGAGAATGTCATTCTTAAAGAGATCCAATGCCAGAAGAAAGGGTCTGCATCCACAGTTTTTTTAACAATGCTTCGTTGAAGTTGAGCCCCTGAACAGATCTTTTCTCCTACACAGAGAAAGTTATTTGCTTTAATGTTTCTTTCTCCATCTGCGTCACATCTTTCTCTCTCTCTCTCTAGTCTGTTCCTTGCTGTCATAAATCTCAGGTTTCTGTGCTTTTACTAATGAGCCTCAAATAAATGTAAAAGTATGACTGCTGAGTCCTGCTTGTTTTTGATCAGAGAGTGTTTGACTAATTCTGACCCCTCTGCTCTATTGACTGGACTTTATCGCTGTTCAGATTTCATTTGAAGTCATTATAAAGCGTCACAACGTCCTCATGAAGTCTCTGTGCCTTGTAACTGATCTGCGTTCGTGCTGAGTTCAGAATTTTAACCACCTGGACTGATATTAGAGCTCTTTTCCTGTGAACTTTAGAGAGCGTTTTGGCCAAAAACTTTGTGTCTGCCTCTCTTGCCACATTCACACAGTGACAAATGCTATTTATATAGGCCATGATATTTCATGTGTAATTATTTTATTGCTGTTATATTTAAAAATTCATGACAGTTTTGTTACTGTTAAGCAAAACTAAAAGTATTAACTATTAAGGAATTTATAATTGAAATAAATTAAATGTAGAAAATTAGAAATGCTGCTTTAGAATCTAACTGAAATAAGTAAAAGTACTAAAATTAAAATAAGTATAAGTAAAGAAAAATAAATAAACTTATTTAGATGTAACAGGAAGAGAGATATGAGACAAAATTAAATCGCAGACTTTTTCTCTCATTGTATGTGTTTGTGATAGAACTGCTCAAATATCAACTGCCTGATGGTGGAGTGTGTTGTGGAACGCTTGGATCGAGGGCAAAGCGCAGTGATCAAGTTCAGATCTCGACTCTGGGCTCACACCTTCTTACAGGTACTTTTATCACACAACTGTCCTTGCATTTCTTGCTAATTGGACAAGAAAGTCTTGTTGGTTAACCTCGTTAAAGGGATAGTTCACTCAAAAATGAAAACTGAGTAAGCATTTACTCATCCATGTCATTCTAAAAATGTATAACTTTCTTTTCTATGTATAACAAATATATATATGAATATATAAATGTAAATTGTGAATATATAGAAGTCAATCAAAATATATTTTTATAAATCTGAATATATAAATGTAAGTCAGAATATAAAGATAAAAATCGTAAAGGGGTCATATGATGCTGCTAAAAAGAACATTATGTTGTGTATTTGGTGTAATGAAATGTGTTTATGTGGTTTAAAGTAAAAAAAAAACACATTATTTTCCACATACTGTACATTATTGTTTCTCCTCTATGCCCCGCCTT